AAAATAAAAATAAATAAAAATAAAAAAATAACAGGCCGGGCGTAATCCCAGCACTTTGGGAGGCCAAGGTGGGTGGATCACCTCAGGTCAGGAGTTCAAGACCAGCCTGGCCAACATAGTAAAACCCCATCTCTACTAAAAATACAAAAAATTAGCCAGGCATGGTGGCAGGTGCCTGCAATCTCAGCTACTTTGGAGGCTGAGGCAGGAGAATCTCTTGAACCCAGGAGGCGGAGGTTGCGGTAAGCTGAGATTGTGCTACTGCTCTCCAGCCTGGCCCCCAAGAGTGAAACTCCATCTCAAAAACAACAAAAAACAGGCCAGGTATGGTGGCTCACATTTGTAATCCCAGCCCTTTGGGAGGCCAAGGCAGGAGGATCACTGGAACCCAGGAGTTTCAGACCACCCAGGGCAACATAGCAAGACCCCATCTTTACAAAAAATAAAAAATTAACTGGGCATGGTGGCATGACTCTGTAGTCCCAGCTACTCGGGAGGCTGAGGCAGGAGGATCATTTGAGCTCAGGAAATCGAGGCAGCAGTGAGCTGTGATCGTGCCATTGCACTCCAGCCTCCAGCCTCAGCAACAGAAGGAGACTTGGCTTTAAAAACAAAAACAAAACAAAACAGCAAGAAAAGAGGAGCATCTTCTCAAAAACTGGGTTTAAAAAAAAAAAAGAAAAATTTTTTTACAAAAAGAAAACAGGAGCATCACTTGCAGCACCTCTGCCTCTGCCCTGCCTACTTGAATGAGGGGCAGGGCGTCTCACCTGCTTGGAGCAGCTCTTTATGAGCTCTAGCTATTTCTGGGGTCTTTAAGCAAAACCTCCCATGGCCAAGTCACCCCTGACACAGGCATCCTCCCCTGTTCCGGCCCCACCTCAGAGATGCTGAGTGACAGAGGCTCAGACCTCGGTTGTTCCTGGCAAAGCCTCACCCCAGGAGGCCCTGCAGCTTAGGCCCAGCCCGTGGTTCATACGGCCCCACTTCCGGCCTCTTTTTCCCTTGAGAGCGATTTGTCCCTGGGAGATCCTGGATCCCTCATTCAGGTGCAGTGCTGCAGAGCAACACTCCTTCCCAGGGGTGACCCAGGCCTGCAGGGTCCCAGTGTCACTGGAAGGCCTTGCCCCAGCCTCCACCCGAGCCCCTGCTCCTCTTTTCCCACAGGGAATGTGACGTCCTCTTCCCAGGGTACACCCACCTGCAGAGGGCCCAGCCCATTCACTGGAGCCACTGGATTCTGAGGTGAGCCGGGCGAGGTGCTGGGGCCATGCTGGAGGGGAGGACCCAGCTGCCCTGACCCTCCTGCCCCTGGCTTCCCACAGCCATGCCGTGGCGCTGACCCGAGACTCTGAGCGGCTGCTGGAGGTGCGGAAGCGGATTGATGTCCTGCCCCTGGGGAGGTGGGTGAGGCTCCAGTGCCCCGAGGGCCTTGTGGGAGTGGCTGCTGCATAGCCTTAGGGATTGACAGATGAGCTGAGAAGGGCAGAGTGGGACAGAAAGCCGGGTTATCCGCTCAGAGGCGGACCCTGCATGGAGCCCCAGCTCTCACCAAGGTGGGGACGACCAAGCCAGTGAATGTGTCTGAGCAGGGCCGGAGCTCTCCAGCGAGGCTCCTGGCGAGCCCAGCCTGCTGCCCTCAGCCTGACATATGGGCACCTATGTCCAGAGACAAGTGTCCTGCACTGAAGGTGCCTTGGTGCTTGGGGATAAGTGGTCTGGGGACACTTGGGGACAAATGTTGTGCACCCAAGGCAACTGGGCCAGGAAAGGGGCTGAGCTCCAGGCAGTTGCCCTGGCAACGAGGACTTGGTTCTGTGTGTGTGTGTGTCTTTCTGTCTGTTTGGGCTGCCTTCCAGGAGCCCTGGTCACCATGAATCCCTGTCCCTGCAGTGGGGCCATTGCAGGCAATCCCCTGGGTGTGGACCGAGAGCTGCTCCGAGCAGGTGAGATGCCCTGCTCCTCCTCCCCAGGGAGAGTCACCCTCAGCTCCTGCCAGGAGCTGCAGACACACCTGAGACCAGAGGGCAGGGGCCTGTGGCTTCTGGTGTAACCTTCATTCATTGCCTATGGGCACTGAGCTCATCCAGGCCAGGGTTCACCCATGGCAGGGGCGCTTGGTACTGAGAGACTCAGGGCTCCTGCCTCCCTCCTGGGTCTGTGCAAAAGATCCCTCCCGCCAGCTCCCACCCGATGCACCTGATCCTGTTCCCTGATCATCTTTCCAGGGGGAGGGGGCTGGGCAACCTGGTTGGGGGAGAGGAGGCCATTCCCTGTGCTCCAGCCCAGCCCTGCTTCTTCCCACCCCCAAGAACTCAGCTTCGGGGCCATCACTCTCAACAGCATGGATGCCACCAGTGAGCGTGACTTCGTGGGTGAGTCTTGGGGAGCCAGTCCCTTGCCCTGTGCCTCACTTTTGCCCCCCAGCCCGGTTTCTCTCTAGTCTCCTCCCACCCCCTGTATGGTCAGTCTGGTTGTGGTGATGAATGTACACTAAAGTGTAAACTTTAAATGGGTAAATTGGGCGGGGCATGCTGGCTCACACCTGTGCTCCCAGCACTGGCCAACTAAAAATACAAGAATACAAACTTTAGCTGGGTGTGGTGGTGGGCACCTGTAATGCCAGCTGCTCAGGAGGCTGAAGCAGGAGAATCACTTGGACCTGGGAGACTAAGACTGCAGTGAGCTGAGATCTCACCAGTACACTCTAGCCTGGGGAACAAGAGTGAAACTCCATCTCAGAAAATGAAATAAAATTAAAAAAAATAAATTAATGGGTAAATTATATGTGAATGGTATCTCAGTAAAGCTGGTTTATTGAAAACAGTAACAATAACAATAACACAAACAGGCTAGGTTCAGGGGCTCACATTTGTAATCCCAGAACTTTGGGAGGCCAAAGCAGGAAGATTGTTTGAGCCTAGGAGTTTCAGACCAGATCATTGCAACATAGCAAGACCCCATCTTTACAAAAAATGAAAATTTAGGTCGGGCATGGTGGCTCACACCTCTAATCCCAGCAATTTGGGAGGCCGAGGCGGGCAGACTGCGAGGTCAGGAGAATGACACCATCCTGGCCCAACATGGTGAAACCCTGTCTCTACTAAAAAACACAAAATTTGGGCCAGGCGCGGTGGCTCAAGCCTGTAATCCCAGCACTTTGGGAGGCCGAGGCGGGTGGATCACGAGGTCAACAGATCGAGACCATCCTGGTCAACATGGTGAAACCCCGTCTCTACTAAAAAAATACAAAAAATTAGCTGGGCATGGTGGCACGTGCCTGTAATCCCAGCTACTAATGAGGCTGAGGCAG